TATTTTAATTTGATTTATTTCACATCGAGACATATGTCCTTCGGTGGATCTTTTTTTTGGAAAATTCTTTAGATATAACCCTATTGCACTGTAGAGTTTGTCGAAATGAAAAGCGAGTTTATGGTGGAGTGGAAGGAGTGGAATGGGGTTCCTTCTATTTTTTTATTCGACCTTCTTTCGCCGAAACTTAAAATTTGCGTTTTAAATATTTAGTAAATAAATTGTGTTTTGAGACATATATTACGGAACATCACTAGATAAATGGTATGTTCAAACAAGAGGAACGGAAACATAATATAAAATGATACTCAAAACAAGTTAAAAAGCATCAGTCGGTTTTGCCGACAATGTATACCCTCTGCCAATGTTCGATCATTTAAATATATTTTGACTAGTATTATGATTATTCAAATTGTTGACCCGCTACGGTGTAGGTGGCGAAGGAATGGGCCAATATTGTCCATTTCATAACGGACCTAAGTAAATATGATAAACATATTGCGACGAGTCAGGTTTAGACTATATCAACTACTTCCTTGACTATATATGATATGTGCGATAATTTTAGAAAATGCTTAAATGTGTGTAATGCGCCAGAAGTGTTCCATTTTCACACTTCATCTAATACAGATAAAAATATTAGTATGGGTAAGTTATGCGAAATCATATGTTCCATATTCATCTCAGGTTTTTGGTTGAGAGAAATATTTCGATATAGCAAGTTGTAAAGAATCGCAGGCTTGTTTCGCAAGTTATGTCAGATAAAAGTATTAAAAAATTTGACCCTTTGTGGGTGAGGTGCCAGAAGGGATTCGCAGATATATATCATCTGGACAAGAGATCTCGTGTTAGGAGAAAAAATGGGATGTGTGAAATATGAAGAGAGCCGGATGCTTATTTCGGATTTTATAATCGACTTGGTTTTTCAAATTTTTGACCTTTTGTGGGAGAGGTACCAGAAGGAATGGTTCAATATGTACCATCTTTGTAACAGATTTTGTGCTGAGAGAAATATTGAGATGTAACAAGTCTGGATGGAATCGGATGTTAATTTCGCGTTTTATGAGATTCATAGGTATTGGAAATTTTGAACCTGTAATGTTGGCCTGCAACCTGTTGATGTTTTTGTGTAGACATGTATGTGTGTGTGGAAAATTGGGCCCTGCCTCAATTTGTTTGCCGGCGCCTACAAACGCCACTTGGCAGAAATGTGTATGTGAATATGTTTTTTTAAATTTTCGAAGGCACAACTAGTTGCCAGCGATTTCCAGCTCAATAAAAAGAGCTTTTTGATTTTTTAATTTTACTAAAGTTTTAAAGCCGGTTTAGGCTCTTTCTAACTTCTGAACTTTATTTTCAATTTCATCGTCCTTATATATAAAACATAACGGTACTTAATCCTAGATTTTGTTTTCTTAATATATCCTTAAAAATAACAATAACAATCCTTAAAACTACAGCTGATCTACTTAGCCTAGTTACAGGTGATCAATACAAGGGTAGTTCACATGTATTAATTTATCGTAACATTACACCCTTACCCTAAAAAAAATAATTTTTGCTTTAGTAAAAATTATTTTGCATTATTCTTTTTAATATAAATTAATTAACTAAAACTCCATTTTTTTAAAACATTATTGTGGTATTTCTTGAATTTGCCATTTATATATATTACAGTATTGACTCCATCAGTACTAATGACGTTATATGGGCCTAAATACGGTGATTGATTTTTTTCTATTCATTAATCTTAATAAAACTAAATCATCTTTATTTACTTTTAGTGGATTAGAAGTTTCGGTTTTAGCAATTCTTTTAATTTTAGATTTTTCCAAATATTCCTTAGATTTACAGAGACAAAACCTAAGTCTTTGCTTAATTTCATTTGAATATTCTTCAATATTGTAAAATTTCGATTCTTTTATAATTTCATCATTGGGTAAGTATGGCAGTTTTCCAAAAACTAACTCATAAGGAGAATAGTTAGTATCAACATGTGGTGTGGTATTGTATGCAAAGGCAAAATATGGTATCCAAATGTCCCAGTCTGCACTATTTGAAAAATTTAGTGGAAATTCATTAAGAACCCTATGAGTTCTCTCTACCGAACCCAATGTTTCATGGTGATAAGGAGTGCTAAATATTTGTTTTATTTCCAATAAACGACATACCTCAGATATTAACTGATTAGAGAACTCTGTACCATTATTAGACTTTAGTATTTTGAAATTTCCATATATCAAAATAAACCTCTCTACAAGAGTCTTTGCTACAGTCCTTGCATCTTTTGTTTCCATAGGACATGCTACTATGTATTTGGTTAAATCACATTGTATTGTTAGAATGTATCTGTAACCATTTGATATTCTCAGTGGACCTACTGTATCTATTGATACTACCTCAAAACTAGTTCCTGGTGTATCTGTTAATGTCATTGTTTCTTTTGTGTGTGTAGTTTGTTTATTGATTCTACATTGTGGACAGTTTAAAACTTATCCTTTTATCATTTTCGACATATTTTTCCAAATGTAACGCTGCTTGAGTTTTAAAGTTGTCTTTCTGACACCTAAATGTCCTCCATGCTCTGATATTAATTTTAATTGTGTATTTTTGCAGTTAATCCTTTGAAGATCTCGGTATATAATTATTTGTAAATTTGTGTTTCGTTCTTTCTGTAATTTGTTCAGTAATGTTTTGAACTCTTCCATGGCCATGGATTTGAATATTTCATCATTTTTGTTCATTGCTAGCTCTTTTATTCCTTTTTTATTGGTTTTTGTTAACAGTTTCTCCAAAGACAAATCTATGTTCATTGGATTATCGCTGTAACTCACAGTTATTATGTCTTTTCCAATCTCAATTGCTGGTTTCTTCTTTTCTTTGAGTAGTGTAAACTTAAGTTTTCTTATATTTTTTTATATCTGTGAGTGATGTACATTCCCAAATCAAAAGTTGATCAGGCTTTGGATGAGGGCTGTCATCATCTATAATTTTATTGTTTGAGTTTTTGTTGCTTAAAAGTTTTTGTTTGCCCTCTGGTAATAGCAAGAATTATATGGTCTCGTTCGGGTGTCGTGGGAATTAAAGCCTTTAAAGAATCGCTGTTAAGTTTTATTCTGGACAATGCGTAAGCATTTGTGTTCATCTTCCCTTTTTTATAAGCGATCTCAAAATCGTAATCACTGAGATCCATGCGAATCCCTGTCATCTTTGAGGATGGATTCCGATGTGAAAAAAGTAATACTAATGGTCTGTGGTCAGTAACAACAATAAACTTTCTTCCATATAAATATGGTCTAAAGAAATTAATTCCCCAGTGTATAGCAAGTAATTCTTTTTCGATAACTGGTTTCTTCAAATCGTGTGGAGGTTGTAGCGCTGGCGTAGGAAATAGGCAAGTCGTTTCCCATTTCTCCTTGGGATAACACTGCTCCCAACGCATAATTAGATGCGTCCATTGTTAGCACGAAAGGCTTTGAAAAATCTGGATATTGTAATATTGGTGGTTTCAGTAAACAATTTTTTAAAGTTTCAAAGCTTTTTGGCACTCAGGTCTCCATTCAAATTTGTTGTTCTTTTTCAGAAGTGCATTCAAACTCCTTGCTTTGTCTGCAAAATTAGGTATAAATCGACGATAATAATTGCAAAATGCTACATATCTCCTCACTTCATCTGCGTTTGTAGGTACGGGATAGTTTTTTATCGCACTATATTTGGCTGGATCAGTTCTTAACCTTTATCGGTTATGAGATGTCCCAGGGAAACCACTTCAGGTTGTAGAAAACTGCACTTCATAGCATTTAACTTTAAGTTAAATTTTCGCAATCTTTTAAAAACGTTGCACAAATTGTCGTTGTGATCTCTCAGTCCAGAGCCAAAAACGATTATGTCGTCCACATATAAAAATGCAGATGCGTCCAATCCACTGAGAGCTATTGTAAGCATTCTCTGAAAACTGTTTGACGATATCTTCAAACCAAAAGGCAAACGTTTAAATTGATAGTGACCATTCGTTGTTGAAAATGCCGTCACCGGGCGCGAATCCGTGTGTAAATTAATCTGATGGAAAGAAATCGTCATATCCAATGTGGAAAAATACTTTGCTCTTCCTAGTCGATCTAATATATCTTCAATTCTAGTTAACGGAAACTTATCATTCACAATTTTGTTATTCAGCTTACGGAAATCCACTACTAATCGCCATTTTTTCTTATCATCCTTTGACTTTTTTGGTACTACTTAAAGTGGTGAATTATATGGACTAACCGATGGTTCGATTACATCATCTCGTAGTAACTGATCGACTTGTTTATTTATTTCTTCCAACTGCGTCTGCGGAAGTCTATAATTTTTTATGTATACTGGTAAGGAATCTGTTATTTGTATTTTTTGAGTGTAAAAATTGTTCACACTTAACGGCTCCCCAGGCAAATGAAAAATATCTTGAAATTCTTCAAGAATTGAACGAATTGATTGTATAGCGTATGGATTATTTGTGCCGATGTCTAACCCATCAAGTAATGTCGAAAGAGTTTTATAATTTTTTTCTTTTGTAGCTTTAGAGTAGTATATATGGTAATTTTTTAATGAGTTGAATTGGCAATTCAGTTCTTTTAACTTTACGTCTTCATCAGTAGTATTTAACACCTTAACATGCACTTTACCATTGGCAGGAACTAAACAATTTGCTAAAAAAGACTCCTTCAGATATTTCCTTATTGAGTATACGCTATTACGTATGGGAAAATCATCCGCTACTACGTAAAAATCATGACACAATGTCTCTCCTTCAATTTCTAGCATAAGTTCTGAAGTCCCAATACATTGAATAGCTTCTTTAGTTATGCCAGTTAATCTTGCAGCATTTGTTTTGTTCACGTATGAAAATGTGTGTTTGCATATGGAGATATCAGCTCCGGTATCTATTAAGAACGTTAAACGCTTTTCCTTAGAATTCAACGAAATAAAAGCGTTTGTCATCAAAGTTACATTAAATATCCTTAATTTTGGGCCTCCTGGATAAATTCTTCCATCATCCGGCCGTCTGAGTTTCCCTGTTGACATGAACATGGAAAATCCTTATAATTTCTGTCTTCCGTATGCTTGATTCTGCCATTTTTACCATTATTGTATTCCACATTGCCGTGTATATTTTTATATTCTGCATTCTTATTGTTGTTTCCTTGATAGTTATTGCGATTATTGCTATGACTATTGCTGAATTTTTTGCGGTCACCTGGATTTCCATAATTATCACTGCATCGATTACCGATATTGTATCGTGTATTGTAATTGTTTCTGTACGAGTTATTGTAATCGTCATAATTGTATCTATAACTTTGTCTATAAGGTTTACTTTGTTCATTTGATATATTTGTTCTATTTACAAAGAATACATCCTTCGTATCCAGACCTAAACTTCTCTCAGCTGTAATACATCTTTGGGTCGCCTCATTTAAGCTTGAAGGCATATTAGCCAATAAAATTGGCTGATATTCAGCGTTAACCCCTCTCATAAAAACATTTAATGCCATACTCTCATTAACTTTGTATATCGCATCCTTGGTTTCTTGAGACGGGTTCTTTAAATTTCCTATTTCAAAACGATTCAACTCATCACAAAGTTCAGATATCTTTTCCTTAAATGAAGTCATTGTTATAAATGTCCTTGCTTGGTTGTTCCTAATTCAGTTAATAGCTGTTGTAGCGTTCTTGGGTTTGGATAAGCATCTTCCAATGCCTTTTTTAATTGTACAAATGTCGTTGGCTTGTTTGAACGACCTAAAATACTCCTTACTTGGGCTGATAACTTGAAATTATAGATGTACTTAATGAATAATTATTTATCTTGCTCTTGTAGCAAATCATGCAGCAATTCTGCTTGAGATATAAAGTCTTCTAAATATTTGAATTCGCCTTTAAATACATGAAAATTTTTGCTAACCATTGACATGTCGAATTGTGCCATATTTACGTTATTATTTACTATTTCTTCTTTTATATTCAATTCATTAATTAAAACCGAAATTTCTATTTTCAATTCATTAAATCTCGCTTTTAAAAGATAATCATTCTCATCATCACATTGGTAATCATTCACCGCATTGACCAATTCTTCTAATCTTCCTAATTTTTCTTCAACGTATATTTTTGTAAAAATCTTATTTTTACTTTTCTTTAAATTCAATTTTAATTTTTCAAATTCATTAATGCCTGCTTCTATCTCCATTTATATTATTATGCAACTAATATTAATACTTAAAATAAATTGAACAGTGTAAACGATCCTTAATAAAAATTTCAAATTTAACGGTCGCTTAATATTGAACTAATGAGTACAGGGTTGCAAAAGTAGTATTTTTACAATGATGGTTACCAATTACTTTTAAACTAATTATTTATCAATCGGTTAACAATAATCATCATTTCATTTTGTTTTGATCGACATTTTGTAAATTCGTGGTGTAATCTTGTGTTTTTTTTTTTTTTTTAATTAATAAAAATGTGAAATTTAAATATTTTATAGTGCTTTGTGTGTGAAATAAATTTTTATTTTATATTTTTATGATAAAATTTTACATTATTCGCATTTCTTGTGTACATTTTATGTTTTGCTTTTTGTAATTATTCCTGTGATGTTTCATCTGTTGTATTCTTCTTCTTCTTAAAAAGGAATAATGTTTGCATACCAAATAAAATAAAAAGAAATTTGGAAAAATTTTTATTTATGTAATTTTATTTTTCAATGTGGGTGTTTTGTGAACTTTTAGATCTCATTTGAGCTTCCACAGCATCTATTTGTAGCCAAATTTGTGTGGCTTTTTGCCAAGATGGTGGAGGATCTGCATTAACAGCTTCTTTGAGGGCTGCCAATTGTCGACGCAGGCGTACAATTCTGCCTCCTCTGCGGTGTTTAGGCTTTTCAGTAGGGTGAATCCGCGTCAGCTTTTCTTCTTTAATTTGCTGTTGGCGCTTGAAATATTCCTCCAGTGTCAACCTCTTAGGACCTTGGGGTAATGTGTCATGACAGGATTTGCTGCTCGATGCCGTGTTTGGCAGGATCGCCATGTAATGTTGGCCTGCAACCTGTTGATGTTTTTGTGTAGACATGTATGTGTGTGTGGAAAATTGGGCCCTGCCTCAATTTGTTTGCCGGCGCTTACAAACGCCACTTGGCAGAAAAATATGTTTTTTAAAATTTTCGAAGGCACAACTAGTTGCCAGCGATTTCCAGCTCAATAAAAAGAGCTTTTTGATTTTTTAATTTTACTAAAGTTTTAAATACCAACTATTTCCCTGGTAAAAAATAGTTTTTAATGGTCAAAATATCCTGCAGTACCTAAGAATACCAGAACATTGCAACATAACATTGTTGTCAAGTGCTCAGGCCTTAGAAGTCACACAGTGCATGCAGCGGATCCTGAGGAAATTTGAAATTTATTTTTCCCGACTTCACGCGAACTGGCGCTTTCCTTGCAGCGTGTACTAAAAATGAAAAATCGAAGCCATGAAGCCCTTCAACCAACCTGCAGAAGGTGTTCATCTAGCAAAGAAAGGAAAACAACACATATATGCTTAATATTTAAGACACCAATATGTTTGCAATGCACTGAAGGAATTTGTAAGGAATGCGCAAGTTGAATTTTTAACCAAATTCACCTTTGCAGGTTTTTTTTTATTTCTGTATCGGAATATATTATATTTTAAGTTTCCAAAATAAAATGAATTTGTGTTTTGCTTAAATATTTTGTATTGTCGTTATTTCACAACCTTAAATAAAATACTGAAAAAGATAACTGAATATATTTAGCTTTAAAAAACTTGTGTTGTTTTATTAAAGTTAATAGTTTTAAAACTTTTTCAAGATCTTGATATACAAGAAATATACAACAGTTATATATTAAATCAAATTTTCAATTGTTTTATAGAAATTTTATGTATTTTATATAACCGGTAAAAATTATCGGTGGTCTGTACTAACGTTCGTATAATTTGACGTCTGTAGTTAAAGGTTAGGTACGTGGTACGGGAGGTACGTGACCTAGCACTGATGGAAATATTAGTATTTGCAAAGTTGGAGTAAAATCGGATGATCCTTTCTCTTGATGACGGACGGACATAGTTAGATCGACTCTAAATGTCCTGAAACGGATTTGGTCCAAAGAGGCTAAGGGCCTAAAATCGTTATTTCGATGATGCACATTTTGGTCGTATCAAATGATATATACCCTCTCTAGCCTGAGGGTATAAAAATAACAAAAGAATTGAAAAAGAATATCCATGGACCAAATATTGGAGAGTAAAAAAATGGAGGGTATATTAACTTTGTCATTCCGATTGTAATTCCTCGAAATACTCATGTCATACTCAACAAAGTGTATATATTCTTGATCAGAGTAAACTTTTTAGTCGATTTAGCGATGTCCGTCTGTCTGTCTGCCTGTCTGTTGTAATCACGCTATATTTCGAACAAATTGATATAGAAGGCAAAATTTTGCACACATGAGCATTTTGAATTTGCCAAGGGAAGATCGACGGTAACTAGTTTATTCGAACTTATGTGCTAAATGCCAAACTGGCCGCATTTATACTGATTTCAGTACCGGGCCTTAAAATGTTATTGTAGTAAAAACTTTTATATTCATGCAGTTGTGGAACAGAGCAAGTCCTGGCTCTGAATATACCAGTCAATAGCTGTTTCTAAATTATCCCTGGTGTTTATCTGCCATTTTATTCCTAACTAATGCGGCGTTGTAATGTGCTTCCCAGCTAACATTCGAAAACGAACTCTTCAAAAGTTTCCGATTCTGATGTCGAATTCGGAAGGAACGTGGAAAAAATTGTGTGACACTGTCCAAGATTCTGATTTTTTTTTAAGAAAAAAGAAAAAAAATCGGAACATTTTGTATGTTTGATACGAAATTGTACAGATGTACAAAGGCTAAAGAAGCTGTACATAGAAGCATTTTTTCAGGCTTAAGTCTTTGGCTTGCTTTTAAAGGAGTTTTAGGCTGTCTTAGTTAAATTTTGGTCATAATTTATACTTACGCATCCAACGCTCACTTGATCTTTCACTAAAAGACCCAGCCGATGACTCTTGGCAAAACAATAGAGGTAAATCGAATATGGCAATCCTTTTCTAAAGTACTCGAACATGACATTTTTATACCCTCAGGCATATGGCTTCAGAGGGTATATATGATTTGATACGTCCAAAACGTGTCTCATCGAAAACGTCTGTCTGTCTGGCTGGCTGGCTAGTGCGCACGATAACTCTCGCATGGAGTATCCGATTTGGTCCAAACTTGGTACATCGTAATATTATTATCAAACTTAGGTTGAGTTCGCAGATGGACAATATCGGTCTTTGTATTCTTCTTATGCCAGAAAAAATCTCCTTATATGTAACTCTCTTTTCTACAAGAACATCCAACTTATTTTCTGTTATTATGGGAAGCTTGAGATAGATCATCTTACAATAAATACAAGGTAGACAGAATGCTTAAATTTTAAAAAGCTGAAGCTAGAGTTTTATTACTTTATTACGATAACTCTCGCATGGAGTATCCGATTTGGTCCAAACTTGGTACATCGTAATATTATTATCAAACTTAGGTTGAGTTCGCAGATGGACAATATCGGTCTTTGTATTCTTCTTATGCCAGAAAAAATCTCCTTATATGTAACTCTCTTTTCTACAAGAACATCCAACTTATTTTCTGTTATTATGGGAAGCTTGAGATAGATCATCTTACAATAAATACAAGGTAGACAGAATGCTTAAATTTTAAAAAGCTGAAGCTAGAGTTTTATTACTTCAAATTTAATGATAACAATTAAAAAAATACCCTCCACCATTTGGAACGAATTAGAAAATTTTCAAAAATATAAAATCCATTAAAAAATCTTTTAAAATCTTTAAAATAAATTTATCTTTAAAATATCCATCCCCCGATATATGGGGGGATATATGATATTGTGGACCTATTAAGACAAATCTATGTCTGGATGTAAAGTACTCACAAGGAACTCCTTGTGTGGATTTTCAGATAATTCCGTTGAAAAATGTGGGTAAAATCATCAAAACGGGGTACCGTTATATGGGTGATATATGATATCGTTAACCTATGTAGAATATTCTCTGTCGGTGAGTAAAGTGCTCACAAAGAACCCCTTGTGTAGAATTTTAGACAATTCCCTTGAAAAATGTGGCTAAAATCATCAAAATACCAAATATCGTGGACTTATATAGATAATTCTCTGCCGTGGTATAAAGTACCCACAAGAAACTCCTTGTGTGGATTTTCAGACTATTATATTAGAAAATGTGGCTAAAATCATCAAAATACAGAATATCGGGAGGTACCGTTATATGGGGGATATTCGATATCGTGGACCTATATAGACAATTCTCTTTCAGGGGTAAAGTACTCACAAGGAACTACTTGTGTGGATTTTAAGACAATTCCATTGAAAAATGTGGCTAACATCGTCAAAATACCGAATATCGGGGGGTACAGTTATATGGGGGATTTACGATATCATGGACCTATATAGACAACTCTTTTTTAGGGGGTAAAATGCTCACAAGGGACTCCTTTTGTGGAATTTCAGACACTTCCATTGAAAAATGTGGCTAAAATCATCAAAATACCGAATACCGGGGGGTACCGTTATATGGGGGCTATACGATATGGTGGACCTATATAGATAATTCTCTGTCGAGGTATAAAGTACCCACAAGAAACTCCTTGTGTGGATTTTCAAACAATTCCGTTGAAAAATGTGGGTAAAGTTATCAAAATACCGAATATCGGGGGTACCGTTATATGGGGGATATACGATATCGTGTACCGATATAGCCCATCCTCGAACTTGGCCTGCCTGCAGACAAAAGTGAGATCTGTGCAAAATTTTAGCTTCCTATCTTAATTCGTTTAGACTGTAGCGTGATTACAAGAGACGGACAGACGGACGGACGGACAGGGCTAAATCGTCGTAGAATTTTACGCTGATCAAGAATATATACACTTTGTAACAAGGGTATAAAAACCTCCACCATACTATGGAGGGTATATTAAATTTGTCATTCCGTTTGTAACTCGTCGAAATACTCATGTCAGACCCAACAAAGTATATATATTCTTGATCAGCGTACAATTCTAAGTCGATATGTCTGTCTGTCTGTCCGTCCGTCTTTCTGTCCGTCTGTCTGTCTGTTGTAATAAAATCTTTTGAACGAATTGAGATAGAAGGCTAAAATTTTGCACACGTGGTACCTCCCAATTTTCGGAATTTTGATGATTTTAGCGTCATTATTCACCAGAATTGTTTGAAATTACGTTTTTAGAGTTCATAATGGGAACTTCAGTCTGTGACAGAAAATTGTCTATACAGGTCCAGGTATTCGTATAGGCCCCATATATCAGTACCTCCCTATATTCGGTATTTGACGATTTTAGGTACAATACTCACCGAAATTGTTTTAGATGTCGTATTTGAAGTTCGTAATGGATGCTACAGCCTGTGACAGACAATTGTCTATGTTGGTTCAGATCTTCTCACAGCTGCGATATAACGGTACCTCCTTATATACGATATTTTGATGATCTTAGCTACATTATTGACCGTTTAATTAAAGTTTCGAATTTGAATATTGTAATGGCTTATGACAAACAATGCATATGCAGGTCCACGTCGTATACACTCCAATATAACTACTATCTTCGGTATTTTTTAAAATTGTAATAGAATTTTTTAAGGATTTTATTTTTTGAAAATTTCTAAATTCGTTCCAAATGGTGGAGGGTATTCAAAGTTCGGTCCGGCCGAACTTACTGTTTTTAACTTGTTTTATTTTCGCATTACAAACATTCACAAATCCCAATATTTTCACCAACCCAAGGTCTGGAGGTAAGATGGAATATATCGGTCCACTCCTTCTGGTACCTCCCCCACAAATGCTCAAAATTTCGAATATTTCAGGGATCTCATAAACAGCGAAAGTAATATCCGATTCCATTAAAGACTTGGTACATACCAAGATGGTAGAGATCGGACCATTTCTTTTGCTACCTGTCCCACAAAGGATTTAAGATTTTGAAAAACAACACGTTCAAAAAAGCGAAATAGGCATTCAACACTCTTCAAATTTCACACATACAAACATTTTCTCAACTTGCTATATCTCTTTGCCAGAAACCGGAGATGAATACGGAATTTATGATTTTCCATAAATTGAGTATAAATGTTCGTCGATTCTCTTGTAATATTGCCCACACCAATATTTTTATATGTATTAGATGAAGTATGAAAATGGAATACTTCGGTCGACTATATTTGGTAACTCACGCACATGTTACCATTTTCTAAAAATTATCATATATGTCATATAAAGTGAAGTCGATATAGTCCAAACCTGGCACGTCGCAATATATATTTCATATTTATTTAGGTCCGATACGAAATGGCCAATATTGGCCCATTAAAAATTTAAATAATCATAACAGAAGTAAAAATATTTTTTAAAAATCGTACATTGGTTGAGGGTATACGTCTGTCGGCAAAATCGACAGATACTTTTTGAATTGTCCTTTATGGTATTGAGAAAAATATGCATAATGAGTAGACTCTAGCAGTTCTGGAGCAGAGCTTGACAACTGCTCTGCTATATATTTTTTTTAATGGTAGACATATCGTTTCACGAGTTGATCTCTTAGTTTTACCATGGTCATATTTTTTTTTGCTAGGAGATGGGCACCAGCGAAGGTGCGCCACGGAAATATATATTTGTTATAAGAATGTTATGCTAAATAGTAACTTTTTTATGATTTCGCATGAAATGTTTAAGGATTTGAGGGATATAAATGAGTTGAAGATTACGAATCAATGATAATATGCAAATATGTATAAACATTGAACTCCCATCATAAAGGAAAAATCGTTTATCGTGGTAACCACTTTTACATTCTTGCAATTATGTCTGTCTGTTGAAATCACGATACAGTCCACATTTTTTGCCGTAGAGCGTCAAAATTTAGCTAAACAATTAGTATTGTGCACAGAATGGTTGGTATTGAAAATGAGATGCATCGGTCCAGGTTCTGGTATAGCTCCATATAACGGTACCTTTCGATATTCGCCATTTTGTTGATTTTTTCCACATTTGTTCACGGATTTGTATAAAAATTGGTATTTGTAGGTCATAATGGGTTCCTACTCATGTGGCGAAACATTGTATTTATAGGTCCAGGTTTTGGTATAACCCCTATATAACGGTACCTCCCGATATTCGGTATTTTGATGATTTTTGCCACATTTTCTCACGGATTCATCTAAAAATCGTTATTTGTAGGTTAAGACGGGTTCTAGCTTATGTGGCGAAACATTGTATGTATAGGTCCACGTTTTGGTATAGCCCCCATACAAGGGTAAATGCCGATATTCGGTATTTTGATGATTTTTGTCACATTTTTTACGGATTTTTCTAAAAATCGGTATTTGTGGGTCATAATGGGTTCAAGCTCCGCGAAACATTGTATGTATAGGTCCACGTTGTTGTATTGTCCCATATAATTGTACCTCCCGATATTCGGTATTTTGATGATTTTTGCCACACTTCCCACTAATTTGTCTAAAAATTGGAATTTGTTGACCATGATGGGTTCTAGCTCCGGTGGGGAAACATTGTATGTATAGGTCCACGTTTGGCATTTGTGGGTCATAACGGGTTCTAGCTCCGGTGGCAAAACATTGAATATTTAGGTTCATGTTTTTCTATAGCGAACATAAACCGATTCCCACCGATATTCAGAATTTTGATAATTCTAGTCACATTTACCCATAGAATTGTTTCAAATTTGGTATTCTAGAAAATTTGATAGATGACAATCCCTGAAGTATAAAATTGTCTGCAGAGGTTCACGTTTTAGTATGGCCCCATATAACGGCTTTACTCACTTTATGGTTTTTGATAAGTTTAAATGCATTATGCAAAAGATCTTACTGGTATTTGTAGTTTAAAAATAAAAATGTTTCCTTTACCTTAAGGTGGAGGATATTAAAAATTCGGCCCGGCCGAACTTAATGTTTATACCCTACACCACAAGGTGGTCAGGGTATTATGTCTTTGTTCATTTGTTTGTAACAGAGACCCATAATTCCTTTTGATGATCTGCATAGAATCACATTCTGAGTCGATTTATGCATGTCCGTCCATCCGTCTGGTCGTCCGTCCGTCTGTCCATGTATTTTTGTAAACAAAGTACAGTTCGCATTTATTTCCCTATCCAGATGAAATTTGCACAAATCATTTATTTTTTGCCCAAGGACGAGCCCTATTGAAATTGGAGATAATCGGTAAAAATTTAGATATAGCTCCCATATATATCTTCGTCCGATTTGCCTTTTATTGTGCACCAAATGTGTAATATCAGCCCAAATAGTATGAAATTTTGCACGTACGATCAGATTGGACCTGAAAATAAGTATGCCAAATTTGATCGAAATCGGTTCAGATATAGCTATAGCTCCCATATATACTGTTCATCCGATTTGTTAGATTTGTTATCCACAGCTGTAATATGCACTTCGTAACACCGATATTCAGGGAAATATGTCAAATACAGCTCAGAAATATCTTTGCCAAATTTTATCGAGATCGGTTCCGATTTGGATATAGCTCCCATACATATTTTTTATCCGATTTCAAATTAATTGTGCACCAAATGGGCAATACAAGTCCGAATTTAAAAGATACAATGCTTCGGCATATTTAGTCCTTTGAACTTTAAATTATAATTATAATCATGGCGTGTATGATTGAATTCTCCCATTAAAACGTTTAATTGTTACGCGGAGCTCTACTAAATTAGCAAAGTAGTGTAGGGTAGAGTGGATTACCCGATGATGACCGTCGAAAAGGTTTGAAATATGTGAACAACTAAATACGATACAAAACAACTAACAGAATAATCTTAAAGTTTTGTCCTGTTTTCACAACCAAAGCCTATGTTTTATTATTTACTTTAAACATTTAATTTTTATTTCATCAAGTTGGCTTTGATCTCATCAAGTTAGCCCTGATTTACCATTTGTCCATTTACTTACAATCATGGTAGAAATTCCAGGTAGCAACATAGGCGAAACTCACAACAAAGTATTTATTTGAAGTATAGAATTTGGGGCAAATTGGTTTGCACCAATCAGAACATTGGATTTTTGAAACATGGTAAATTGAGTTTTTTATTAAAATTTTAAACATTTTAAATTTGCATAGAACGTGTGCGTTGTTGTGAATTTTAATTTTTCCCTGGCTCCCTAATTGCTACAGAAGATTTCGTGAACTCGATGGACTCGCAGTGCGCATAATGTTTATCCAAAATCAATCTCTAAATCGGATATAAATGAGGGATTTAAATTGGATTAAAACTTCCCCAGGTATTAACGTTTTTGATATTTTGAGATCATTGTAAAATAATTGTCTATGCCTCTGTTGTAGACTAGTTATCAATCGTATTAATGTTGTGAACTTTGATTTAGACTGTGACAAAATTATGGTCTCTCGTGCAAATTCAGATCCAATTTGGGCTAGCTACTTTCCGAATAAGGTATTTTTGGTGCAGTCACAATTTCGGCGAGCTCCCCAAAGCGAAAGTATATCACTGACGGTTCTGAGTCTATTACCTAAACATTAAAGTAAATTCTTTTGAGGATTCGAGGATGTTTGTATCTCTGGAAACAGGATATTTCTTAAAATGTGATGTTAACATAGAAGCTTGTTAGATTTAATAAATATTGAAACGGTTAACAATTCCATTAGGGCATCTATATTGAGCAAATATTCGGTTTAAAAATTTCCAATTGTGATTGTTTCCAACTGTATTGGCATTTACACACAACTAGAGCCCAAATAAAATTGTATTCCCATTGCATTCCAGTTTATTATATAAGAGATTCAAGAAGCATAATGTTAAGGGTTTTAAGCACATCTGAGAGTTCGTTTTTTGCGCCTTAGAATAATGTCAATCATGTTCACATTGGTGTAACTACTTAAAGAATATTTCTAATGTTTCACAGTCGCATTTTCAGCAGACTCATGCAGTGTTTATCGTGGTCTCATAGTGCAAATCGTTCAAACATTTTTTTATGGGCATAGGTGTGGCGAATTCAAATTACAACAATTTTTTTGACATATCAAATTGATACCAGCTGGCGTGAAAGGGTTACCTTGTAATTCTACCATGCTTACAATAAAAATAATTCATTCATTTCTAAATTTTCTTCAGAAAAATAAACCACAAACTTTTTTAAAAACTTAATTGTTGGGATTTTATTTAACCCATGAACTCAAACAACTGCTGACTCCAGACAAAGAATACCGATAGCTGTTCAAATTGGTTACATTCGACACAAGAACTATTCATGGCAACGGGCGCTACGAATGCAACATCACCAATTGAAGTTCTGCGCTGTGAAAGCAAATCGAATCACAATTCATTATGGCTGGCGTTACACAGGATTCAACAAAATGCCGCACAATTGTCGCGTCAATTGAAAGCAATATTTTGAAGGAGGCATCAGACATAAGCGTCTGAAAAAAATATTGACGAACAAGGACGAGCTCGGCGACAAAAGGCCTTTAAAATTGGTAAGGTTTATAACGACATTTAGAAGCAGCTGTGGACGCAAAGACGCCCTAGGCAAATGAAACCAATATTGTCCGTAAGTGAAGACAGCCTTGAAAAATTATTGGTATCATTTCAAATTTGGCGAAAAGCCAGAAAATATATTGCCCCATGCAATTTTATGTCTCCAACTTCAGAAAGCTAAATGGTGCGCAGTCTTTGGTGATGGAGAGTGTACCCAAGAAGTATGTCGACTGTTTGTTCGAAACATTAAATCGAAAACCAGATATTTAGTGGATACCGAAGTAACACATAAGCCCAACCCCTAGGAATTCCGCAGACTATTGACACATTGAATTGGAATGACAATACAAAACTTACTGCCATCAATACCCCACCGCGACAGCAAACCTAAAGCTGTATTGTCGGGGTATTGATCTCCATTTGTTTTTTTTTATTGTTTACAATTTTACTACTTGACACAGGCAATTATTTATTAATATTTTGCATATTCAGCACAACGTCAACGACGACTTGAATTTCGACCTATTCCAAAAATAAGTTTAGTCTGATAGGCAGAATTGACTGGATTGCAGCACACACCACCTAATTGAATATGTGGGCCTGTGTGTTGCTATTCAGTATTTTACTTTTTTTTTTACTTTTGACGGGTAGGTCTAAATGTTTGGCCTCGTTTCAGCTACTGAACAAACAGGCTTCATTTAACATAAATTAGGCCACTCTGTACGAAGTAGTGCTGATTTAAGCTTCGCTTAATGTGGAGCATTTTAATGCTGACACACGGCAATAGATATGAAATAATACAACCACCACTAATACAAACATCAAAACAGAGCTCCAATTCCACTTTTTTATTAAAATGAGCGATTGCGGTTTCTTTGGCTTAATTGCAACATTATAAACGACTTACTATCGATTGGCACTGCGGCTATAAATATGTAAAGCAATAATGGTGCGATACTATCGAACTTGATTGAGTTCAAGTTGGAGATGATGACGGTGATGGTCCGCAATGGTGTTGGTATGACATCTTGAAAGTGAAAACACCAACCAGATTTGTCCAGTGTCGACTAGGCATCGCTGCTGGTGGGTCTGGGTGCCTGAACCGTCCTCCGTAAACGTGATCGCAACAGCTCGCGACGTAGACAATTGCTTTCGGCTTGGGCCATTTGTATAAGCTGAAAGGAAAAATGTTGATTAAATTATTGAAAGATTCTGGATTAAAAGTGGCGTACACTATCCGTAAGGGCCGCTCTCTCCATTGTCTCGGGATCCATGTCGCCCGCAATAGATTCGGCCGGCGATGAAGCTATTGACGATCTGGCTGGACATCGTTCGGTATCGTCTAATTCACTGTAGCTTGGCGGAGCATCAAATTCCTCCGAATTGTCTCGTTCGTCGGGATAAAGGTTTGCTGTCGTCCTTAGTTTAAGCTTGGCTTTCTTGTAGGCAGCCAATTCGTCCTTTAGACGTTGATTTTCCATTTCGAGTATATCAATCTGAAAGAATGAAGGTGCAGATTATGAGGAGGCTTGAAATAAATATATATCTGTAAAATCGACGAGAAAATTTGAACATTAAAATATGTTGTTAGGAACCTTCTTTTTAACCTGGAAGTTAGCCATTTTTTTGCCAACCAATAAATTCGTTCTACCGAAATAAAATTAGAATTGTATCATTTCAATTATGACTGATGAACGCCCAGACGCAATGGCTGGGGCAAGAATCTTGAAATTGTGGTTGAGGGTCACTCTTGGTCCGAAGAGTTCACATAAGGCTGGGGCCGAAATTCTTACTAGAACGGTACGAAAAGTATTAAAAGGTACTAAATATAGTAGACTTTGTATTTGAGAAAACAGAAGAGCTAGAATTCTTAAATTTGGAATGAGGTTCACCGATGGAGTGTATGTTAATGTACCAAAGGGATTTTGGAAATTCGCACTATAAGTTTACGAAAAGGTAAAAAAAGATGTTAATAGGTTTGGAAATTTGTACGTATGTGTACTAAATGTGGTACAATTGAAATTTTTGACAGAACCAATAGAATTGGAATCCTGAAACTTGGAAATAAGATTACCATTGCATTGTAGGACACAGGTATGTAGATAGTTTGGGAAATTCATACTTATGTGTACGAAGTAATACGAAATTTGGTACAACTTAAATTTTGTGAGTTGGAATCCTGAAATTTATTTGGTCTGTATGGCATGGGCAGTTATGAAAATTTTTACTTATATGTAGTAAATTTGGATTTGGGCGAACCAATGGAGCTGATATCCTGAACATTGGAAATAAGATTAGTATAGAATTGGGACAAGTAAGTAGTTTTGAAATTTGTACTTATATGAACTACAATGTACTAAATTTGGAACAATTTGTATTTACAGGGTGAGATAAAGATACAAAAAAAAAACTGCAACAAAGTCAAACGCCATAATTTTTTATGTATTGGTCATCTTTGGCACGAATTATGACCTTCAAACAGCCAATGAAACCGCCACACGCTGCCCGAATGTTGTTCTGAGGGATTTTGGCCCATTTCCGGCGAGGCGCTTGCCTGAGGTGATGTACACTTTGGTATTTTTTAGTGCCAACCTTGCTTTCCAAAATACTCCAGACACAATAGTCCAACGGATTGGTATCCGGAGATTTTAGTGGGCAATGTGCGCTGGAAATGAAGCGAGGAACCTTATTTTGTAACCATTCTTGGAAGCTGCAATTCTAAAATTTGGGATGTGAGTCACTGATGGAGTGCAGAGTAGATGCTCCAAAGTGTTATTGAAAGTTCGAACTTTAGAAATTTAGAAAATGCTCTAAAACCTTTTGGTATTGTTTGAACGAATAACGATAAAACCTTGAAGCTTTGTGTGATAATTAATGTTGGGAAATAAGGGGTTGTGGAAATTTCTACTAAGTGAGGGAACTCTACTAAATGGTACTAAATTTAGAACAGTTTGGTTTAGTGTGCACGCATGAAAATTAAATTTTGTATTGGGGCACCTGTTGGGGTAGTAGGTTCGTAATAAAGAGGTGGATTTAGATATGTGTACTATAATTTTACGAAAAGTACTAAATAGTACTATATTTGGGATTGGGTAACGTTAAAGAGCTGAAAACCTGAAATTTGAAATGGATGTTGCTGTTGTCGTAAGATCCACCTACAAATATAGAGGTAGATTTGAAAATGCGTAGTATAGTTTTTTGAACTTCTAAATATGGCAACGGGGGGAACTTAAAGAGCTGAAATCCTGAAGTTTGAAATAATTGCCGCTGTTGGTGTCTATGGTTGAGAGGGATTGAGATATAGAGGTGATTTTGAGAATGTATATTAAATGTTATTAAATTTGGTATTGAGTGAATGAATAGAGATGGAATCTCGAATTTCGATATTGAGGTCTCTTTTGGTATCTGGTGTTGAGATACGGGGGTACTTTTGGAATTGCGCACTTTTTGTCGAAAAGTACTAAATGTTTCTAATTTTGGAGAGTACAAAATGCCGGGTGTGGGAATAGAGATGGAATTTAGTACGATGTATGAAGCTACGATTAGAAAATTTTGTTAAAAAAATATGTATTTGGAGTATTAAAAAGGCCTAACACAAACTCTTGGAACGAATCTAAAATTTGAAGGTGGACTTTTCGCTGATGAAGTAGCGGGCGCTTGCTAGTTTATATATACAAATTGAAATAGATCCAGTCTCCATATGTCGGCACCGCCACTACCATTTTTAGCTACACACATACCACTTCAATGGAGTTGCTGTTATACACAATGCTTTCGGTTTTGTAATCACGCAATCTTTCGAAATTTCTACACATGTATGTATCCTTCGTCTAAATGCAAGTCAAATTTAAGTGATGTATTATTGGGCTTTTTTAGTCATATTTTCTTCGCGAATCGCCTGTCATTTGACAGAAGGATACCTATTGCATAGATCCCATAATGAAGAAGCTTCAACTCGGAAAGATCAAAGGTTTTTGTTCCTCATTACAGAGGGTATAAAAAGTTCGGACCCGTCGGTAATTGAAATATGTAGTGGGAATTTAAAAAAAAAAAAGAACAATTAAAATTTTATGTAGTTTTTTAGTTGATCAAACCAAAAACTTATTCTTATGCAAGCCACACACGACGCGACCTTAGAATGACAAGGTTCTAACTTGCATTTTTCAAAATTGAGTGTTTCATTCAATATCGTCTAGAGTATCGAATAAAATTCAATCTGAACTGGTTAAGTGTATTTGAAGCATTTTTTTTTTAAATAACAAAGTTCTATCGTACCCAATTTCTGTTATCATAGACTGAACAAGGTTCTATGTTTTATATTTAGAGCCTTGTCTCATTAAAATAAGACAAATTTGTTTTATAGAACCTTGTCATTACAAATAATGGATTTGTTCGGTTCTCTTCTTGTCCGACTGCATGTTTTTATAACAACAGTTAGAACCACTTGTTTTAAATTTTAGTTTTATCGTGATTGTTGATTGAATAGAACCGTAAATTGTGCATATAGTTCGTTATAAAAAATTATAAGCAAATCATGAGTACTGGTGCCAACATCTACAAATAAGATGTGGAAAGAATGGTAAGTAACAGTTATAATGAAAGATTGTCCTGACATTAGGACATGAAATTAAATCAGGCTCAACAGATAAAGATTCTGATAATCCCGATGCAATTTTTAATTCACTGCTGGCTTCCGTGGAAAATGAATCGATTGAAAACGGGGCAGAAAATGGAAATAATACGGCGAAAAACAAAATCAAAATGAAAACCTAAGAAAAGCGTTTCCTGGTTGCTCAAAATGTCCTCATTAATGTAACACAACGATTACAAGAAACGAAAGATGTGTTATATACTTAAATATAACACATCTTTCGTATACTTAAATATAACACATCTTTCGTTTCTTGTAATCGTTGTGTTACATTTATGAGGACATTTTGAGTAGCCAGGAAACGCTTTTCTTAGGTTTTCATTTTGATTTTTTTTTTGCCGTAATATTTCCATTTTCTGCCCCATTTTCAATCGATTCATTTTCCATGGAAGCCAGCAGTGAATTAAAAATTGCATCGGGATTATCAGAATCTTTATCTGTTGAGCCTGATTTAATTTCATGTCCTAATGCCAGGACAATCTTTCATTATAACTGTTACTTACCATTGTTTCCACATCTTATTGTAGATGTTGGCACCAGTACTCATGATTTGCTTATAATTTTTTATAACGAACTATATGCACAATTTACGGTTCTATTCAATCAACAATCACGATAAAACTAAAATTTAAAACAAGACTTAACTTTTTATAGTCTTGCACAAAACGAAAAAAAAAAACAATTTCTTCCTCAGCAAACAGAGAGAGAGAGTTATTTGTGCCAGAAAAATAAATAAAGATAATGCAGGGCCATCAAGAAGAAACTTTACAATAAAATATTTTCTAACAATCAAAAATTAGAAAGCTTCATAATCAGAAGACGGACGCTAATTCAGCTAAGCCAGAGGGCAGAGGAAAGGCAAGCAGGAGCAGCCGTTTGCTAAGTGTTTCTAAAATTTATAGTTTGTATACAGATTGGTGTAAAGAGAATGACATACAACCCGCAAAAATCAACATACCGTTGGGTTTTTAACACAGAATTTTATATTGGCTTTCACGTTCCAAAAAGTGACCGATGTGACTTGTGTGAGGCGGTTGCAAACTGCAAAAAACACAATTTAGCTATAGATGAAAGTCAAATGAGTGAATACGATATACATATTGCCAATAGATGGTCTGTTCCAGTACCTGCAAGAATCTACTAGTTTTGCCATTTTCTTCGATATCATAAAGGGAAAATCGGTTATCGTAGTAAAAACTTTTACAATCTTGCAGTTCTGGAACAGACCAAAAGATTCAATGCGGAAATAAAGAGAAGAAGACAAAAATGACAATAGGCATGTCTGGTTACCCTAAAATTTGTATCAAATGTTACAATGTGTTCTGGTAGTCATCTATTAACCCGAAAGTTCTGCAAAAAGAGCGGTCGGAGAGAGAAATTTTGACAGTTCTTTCAGTGAGAGTTAGCAAATTCTTGCTGGAAAAATTTCTTCTTGCAATCACTTGCAACTCTTCTTCTTATCATTCATCGACATTCAATCAGATGTTCTCTATTGTTTGTTTATTTCTTTTTGTGCTTTCAATTTGAAAATATTTTCTGGAACAAGCAAGACTAATTGTTTTTGGAGAACAACTTTAAAAAATTTGAAAAACGTAATAATCAATATGTAATTGGAAAATAAAAGACAATTTCCAACATTTTTAGACAAACACCATTAGCAACACGTTTAAAAGATTCCGAAGAACACATCAAATCTATCTTTCTTTCATTGCTCATATTTTCATTTTATTCCTAATTTCCTTTTTATTTATAAAACTTGTAAAATTAGTGGTGCTTCCTTTCTTTTAATTCTTTGAATAGGGGTCAAATTGGTTTGTTTTGACAAAACAGCTGATTAGTTGCAAGCTTCTGCAGGAATACCTTTTCGCATTTTCCTTGCAAAAGTGAATAAAACTGGCTTACTCTCGCAGAAAAATGTTGCTGGACAAGTCCTGCAGGAAAAGTAACCAGACACACCTATTATTCCGATACTAAGCTTTGATTTGCAAATTCCCATTAACTGTCCCAGACAGGAATTAGTTCGTTTTCTATAGACGTAAGCTAAATATTTATAATCTAACAGCTAAACTCTCATTTACTAATCAAGTATATTGTGCTATATGGAATGAATCCTTATCTGGTAGAGCTGCAAATGATATTGCTAGCGCATTGAATAAAATACTAGACTGTGCGGTCGAGGAAAACATTTTGACAGAACTTAGACTGTGGAGTGATTCTGCCTCAGAACCGAAATTCACACATGTCTAAATGCTTGATGGAGTTTATGCAAGACCATAAAGACATGGATCAAATTCTAATGAAGTTCTCAGTAGCGGGACATGCATGTATCCCGGAAATAGACACTGTGACACTTCATGTATCGAGAAAGCAATGCGCAGCGCAGAAATATATTCACCTGTTGGATTAATCCGTTTATTAAAACTGGTAAAGAGAAAAGAACCTTACAAAATTATTCAAATGCTAGCCACAGATTTCAGGGACTATAGCACAGCTTCAAAGTTTTTTTAATTATAAGGAGGTGCCATTTTCAAAAGTAACCACATAAGATTTGCACAAAGTTTACCTGAAATTCAGTACAAGCTTTCCCATCGAAAATCTGCCTTGGTAACCGTAAATATAAGGATTTCGGAACGTGCTAAACGCAACTCTTAAGACATATAAGACAGTAATGCTTCCGTTTTTATAACCAGTAGGTCAAAAGTTGTGACAACAACACCAGTATTATCAGCAGAAAAAATAGAAGATTTTTAATATAACATAAGTATAAATAGATTGAAGAAAAACAACTTTTTTATTATACAAAGAAGTTAAGTTCATTTGCAATTTGCAATTTTTTCTAATTCATTTGCAATTTTTTGTAATTGATTTTTTTTTATTGCTTTGAAGGCTTGATTTATGTTTTTCTAAATAAATTTTTCATTAGAAAATGTTTTTTATTCAGAATGAGATGGTTCTAACATACCATAGCACCAGACAATTGAATATTTATTGATTTTTCAGAAGGCCAAAGTTCTAACTGCTAAACCTTAACTGCTAAAACTCGGAGTATCTGATCAAAATCGATTTTTTTCAATCAAGCATCATATAAATAACGAGAATGTAATGGTCTGTATAAAAGTTAAATTATTTTGTACCAGAAATAAAACTGTACTCAGTTCACTTAGAGCCTTGTCATTCTAAGGTCGCGACGAAGCAACTAGTTGTACAACTTGGAGAGGTTGTATTCAAGATTGTATCGTTTGTGGCCCGGTTGTACGAAGTTGTGTCTCGGTTGTACAAAAAATCAAAATTTTTTTGATATTTGGCATGTTGTACCAACCGTTAGTGGGCATGTCGCATACAATTTCATTTTGTGTTTATTTTCGAAGAGGCAACACCATTGTTTCGCACATCAAAACAACACGAAATCCAATCAATGAAAATATAAAAAATAAAAATATATATAAAACGGAATTTCAGCAATTAATAATGAATAAAGGCTATTAAGTAAATTATAGAGCACGAAATTATTTCCCGTCTCATCTTAACTCAAATGAACTCTTCGTAAAGTGAAGTTGTACAAAGAGGTTGTATACAAAGTTGTATCGATTGTGGCCGAAGCATACAACTTGACAACCCTCCAGGTTGTACCAACGGTTGTATCGTGTGTGGCTTGCATAAAAGCTCGATTCAAATGTTTTTGTTCTAATTTGTGTATTTTTATAAAAACATGTTTTTTTTTTAATTTCAGATTTTGCTGCTTTGATACGTCAGTGTTTCCATAACCATCATTTTGTTAATTTTTTATGTAATGTCATTAGAAGGCAACACCAACAAATTTAAAATTTATCAAAAAATTGTCAAATAAAATAGATGAATGTCCAGAAAACATTTGTAGAATGTGGTCCTTTCAAACAATTCACATTTCACATCACACACGGCATTTTGGCAACCTCTTTGTACAACTTCACTTTTCGTAGAGTTTATTTGAATTATTTATTTGAGTTTAAGATGATACCGGAAATCATTTCATGCTCTATAATTGACTAAATAGCTTTTATTTATACAGGGTGAGATGAAAAAACTGCAACCAACTTCATACTGCTGTCATTTCTAAGCAACTCGTCCGACAGCTGTTAATATTATTCCAGTTACAGCTCATTATATTATTTACATGCGCACAAATGCATTTTGGCGAGAATTTTCCAGAAAAATAGTTATTCGTGATGGAATTCAAGCGTGATATTGTGATTTCTTTATATTTGGCTGGAAAACCACAAGTGGCTATCGTTAGGGCACTCTAGCATTTAAATGCGAATAAATCTTTTGTGTCTCGTACTATCGCTCGTTATCATGATACTGGTAGCGTAGCCCGACGTCAAGGAAGTGGACGGAAGAAAACAGCAACATCAGCAGAAATGGTTCAAAAAGTAAAGAAGCGACTTGATCTAAGCCCGTAGTGGCCGAAAAATGGCTCCTGAACTGAATATATCGCAATATTCCATTCGGCAAATATTGAAAAATGAGCTCGGGGTAAAGCCATTAAAATTCCAAAAAGTGCAAGAATTTACACCGCAACAGAAAGAAAATAGACTGAAAAGAGCTAAAGAGTTGCTTCACTTAGCCGAAAGTGGTGAACTGCCGAATTTGGGTTTCTCCGATGTTTGTCAACAAACAAAATGATCGTGTTTACTTGCCAAAGAGGTCAGCTGAAAAAGTGCACCTTCGGTTGGCCACCAGAACTCAAGCGCCGGCCATGGTGATGGGTCGCCATAACATAACAGCCGATGGTCGCTCTCCGCTCGTATTAATCGACCGTGGCATCAGAGTAAATACCCATTAACTTAACGGCAGTTAGGACAATAATGCTACTCTTTTACTCTCAAAGACTCAACACGTATGCAAAAATACCTATATTGCAAGTCAATACCTACTCAATTTCTTGTTGTAACATACCTTCTAACATATTGCCTTACCAAAATAGTAGTTAAGTTCTAGACAATGTAATGATTTAACTTATGCTTAGCTGGTCATAGACATGATAATGCATCTTTTTATTCTGTTGATAATGCATCTTTCTAATTTCATCTAGGTCCGGCTATCAATACGACCTGCACTTTGTTTACAGAAATACAGGGACACAATATGTTTCTATACAGATCATGAAGAGGAACTACGATTAAGTTCGGCCGGACCGAATATACAATACCTTCCACCATTAGAAATTTATTTTTAATAATTGAATATGAACTAGAACGTATCCCACTTTAAACCGCAAATTCCAGCGAGATCGGTTGGAGAATACAGTTAAAGTTTTCAAACAACCATAAAGTGGGTAGAACTGTTGTAAACATCCCATGCCAAAAGGACACCGATATAGACAATTTTCTACTACAAGGATTGTTATCTGTTCCGATATTTTTGAATACCACATTTGAAACTATTCCGTAGAAAAATTTGGCAAGATGGAAAACATGACCAATACATAAAAAGTACTTGAAATCGGAGTTATCCTTAGGAGACTATTCCGAAAAGTAAGCAGATATGACCCAATGAATCTGGATGCAATCCTAAGATCTCTATCAAACGTCATAGCTCTATCTTAAATATTGTGAAATAGAAGTCATCAAATTATGGGGGTTCCTTTGCACATTGTCAAAACTATATAAGAGCCGTATGAACATGTGCCCTAAGAATGCAGAATTTCTTTGGGGGTTTTGATCTAAAACAAGAGTACTATGAAGTCAACTTGACATCTTCCACAACTCAAACTTACCATTGTACGAGGGCAGTTCGAATACTCCTTAGCCTAGCACAAAAGGGCGGTATAAACAGAAAAAAGTTAAGTATGTTGGAAACTTCCATCTCTGTTATGAACACATGTTAAATTTTGTTTCGCTCTGGCAACTCCTTCATATAGAAACAAGTGTTCAAAAAAGACACATCCGCAATTTGTTTACAATGGAAAAATTAGAAATGCGTGCTGTAATTAAATATTTACATAAAGATGCTTTATCGGGGCGCGAAATTCATAATGATATGGTGTATGTGCTCCTTCATATGCAACAGTAAACCAGTAAAGAAAGTCCTAAAGTCGGGCTGGGCCGACTTTATGAAACCCTACACCACTTTGCAAATTTAGTAGAGCTCCGCATAACAATTAAAAGATTTTTTTGGGAGAATTAAATCATACACGCTATGATTATAATTATTATCTAAAGTTCAAAGGAGTTAAAATGCCGAAGCATTTGTATCTTTTAAATTCGGACTTGTATTGCCCATTTGATGCAAAATTAATTTGAAATCAAATATTGATATATATGGGAGCTATATCCAAATCTGAACCGATCTATTTGATATATTTCCCTGAATATCGTTGAATATTACGACTGTGGGTAACAAATACAACAAATCGGATGAACAATATATATGGGAGCTATAGCTATATCTGAGCCGATCTTTACCAAATTTGGCATGCTAGCTTCTAGACTCAATTGAGTCGCATGTGCCAAATTACATCCCATTTGGGAAAATATTAGACGTTTGGTGCACAATAAAGGGTTAATCGGACGAAGATATATATGGGAGCTATATCTAAATTTTTACCGATTATCTCCAATTTCAATAGGGTTCGTCCTTGGGCCAAACAAATGTTGTTTGGAAAATTTCATCTCAATCGGATAATAAATGCGACCTGCATTTTGTTCACAAGAATGCATGGACAGACGGACGGACAGACGGACTGACATGCATAAATCAACTCAGAAAGTGATTCTATGGAGATCCTCCATGTTACAAACAAATCCACAAAGACATAATACCCTTACCACTATGTGGTGTAGGGTATAAATACAGGGTTGCCCATATTCGACGGACCCATCTGGCAATGCCATAGCTTTTGACAGAGATGTCACATCGCTTAATGACATACCGCGTTTGAAGCGTCAGTCCAAGCAGATTTTTACCATGAACCAATACACGCCACGCGAGCGCTCTGAAATAGTTGAAATTTACATTCAACAGAAGAAGTCAATTGTGAAAACTCAACGTGCCTTTAAAACATTAAAAAATGTGAGAAGTGCGCCTTCTAAGAACACCATTAAGCGTTTATACGAACAATTTTCGACTGGTAAGGCTCTTTCTAATCCGAAGAGACCATATTAAAGTCGACCAAGGTGATCGGCCGAGAATATCGCTGCCGTACGAGCCAGTGTTGAGAGGTCCCCAAGAACATCCCAAAAACGCCGTTCTCAGCAGTTGGGCATGGCTCGGTCCACTTTACAACGGATTATTCGCATTGATTTGCATTTGTTCCCGTACAAAATTCAATTGACGCAAAGAATGTTGCCTGCGGATAAGCCTTGTCGATTGGAATGGGCGCAAAGGTCCGTCGAATATGGGCAACCCTGTATTGGTTTGCTGAATTTAAACGTGGTCGTACAAGAATTGAATATGAACCACGTAGTGGACGTCCAAAAACAACAACAAAGCTAGGATTGCAGCCAAAGTACATGATATGGTATTAAATGATCGACGAATAAAAGTGCCTGAAATTGCTAATACTCGTATCATGGGCATCTCATATGATTGAGTCCATTTAATTTAGCATGAAGAACTACAGATGAAAAAGATTTCTGCAAGATGGGTGCCGCATTTAATAACAGTCGATCAAAAACGCATAACAATGAACATGTCTCAAGCTTGTTTGGATCGATTTAAGCGAAATAAAGTGGATTTTAGGCGCCGTTTCATAAATGTTGATGAGACATGGAACCTGGATGGATCATGGATCTCGACTTACAAAACAAAAAAAAATAATAATTCTCCATCAAGACAACGCACCAGCTCGCAAGAGTGTTTTAACAAAGGCTAAAATCAACGAATTACGAGATGCTTGACCACCCACCTTATTCTTCTGATTTAGTTCCCCGTGACTTTTACTTGTTCCCAAATCTAAAAAAAATCCTTGCTGGCAAGGGTTTTACCTCAAATAAAGATGTAATTACAGTTGTAAACCAGCATTGGGAGTTTTAGGAGATTATATTGAAAAATAATAATAATTTTGAAAAACTGACTATTCTCTTTCATTGATAGGCTAAGAAGATTCCGAACCGCCCTCGTACAGTGAAATTATAAGAAATTTTGCACCGAATTGGATAAAAGGGCAAACATTTTCAGAAATAAACAAGGTTTTTTTATTAACAAAGATTGATTATATTTTTCCACGGTACATATTGAATATAAAAAATTCTTTTGTCCCGAAACACATATTGAAATTCGATCTAGAGTAATACGTTTAAAGTCTAAAGAAAAATGTTGACTTGGATTGGATACATGTTAAATTAACAGTAAAAAGCAAGGTCATAATTTTCAATTGTAGTACATACATTTTTGAGTGTATTTTTCGTAAAAGGTATGTTCCTAAATATATGGTTTATTCTGAGATTTATAGTGCAATTTTGTGTAAAATATTTCTTTTTTTGGCACCTATCGCCTGGAATTTAATTTTAAACTGATTTTAAATTGATGTAAATATTTTTTGATATAAAGTGGAAACAGAGAATTTGATTAAATAAGGATGACGCCAATCCTTGCAAAATGATGCTTTATTGGAGATTTTTGTACAAACTCCCACAATGTACGGTTTTACCTCTAAAATGTATTTTTAACACATATGAATTCTTGACGTTTATGTAAGATTTAAACTTTTGACGTCTTCTAAGACCTATGGTAGATAGTTGAAATCTTAATCCGAAAGTTTGGAATAAGAAATTTCCCCCTCTATTTTGGTTATTTTTCGATGTAAACATTCAAATCTTCTTCACCGTAATTATTGAAAATAATATCATTTGAACAAAAATGTGTATACCCTACACACACCACACTGTGGTCGTGGTATTATTTCCGAGTGCATTTGTTTGTAACATGGAGAAGGAAACGGGATAGACCCATAGTTACCGTTGGCATAACTTTCTGAGACGAATTATGGATGTCCGTACGTCAATTGCGATGATATTGATGATAATCGGTGCGATTTTAGATATAGCTTCGGCTGCGATATATACATATTTTTTTAACAAGATCCTTCTCGAAATCCT